GGGGGGGGGGGGCCCGGAGCCCCCCCACCGCCGGGGCCGTGAAAGCAGAGGGTGGGACAGTTTTGTCAAACGCAAGGGTGACTATTCTAAGGGGTCAGCGGTAGCGTTGCCTCGATCGGGGGCTTTTGCGCCCGGGTTAATGACGTCATGCACCTACGAGTCACGCTATGAAAAGGAAACGGAGAATGTTCATGGATCCGAGCGTTAGCGTGAGTCCAAAGCCGAGCGGTTAGCCCCGGGAACGAGCTCAGTAACAGGCCCAGAGACGCTGGCGGGGTCCCGCGCCCGGCCCTTCTCCCAGCCAGCGGCCCAGGCGTGACGGCAGATGGCGAGGCGGGGGTCGGTTAGTGTGGGTGACAGGACAGTGACAGTGCACCGGAAGGCAGACAGATGGCCACGGCAAACGCACCACCACCACAGAGAACACCGTTTTAAAAGGAAACCGCACTAGCTCCGTGTTTGCCTTCTGAGCTACGGGCTCCGAATCCTACTTTGTTTCATTTTTTACACTGAAAGGCAGAGCCCGAACCTGCGCTTTACCAGCTCGAGTCGCTCGGGGCGCCGGCCGCCAGTACCTTGTTTCTCTTGATGAACGGCCACAGCTTCCCCTTGGACTTGCCGCCGAACTTGAGTTCCACCTTGACCTCGCCCCTGGGGTTGGAGAGGCTGTTGTCTGACACTGTGCGCTTCATGGGCTGAGCGAAATCCTCAAAGTCGATGTCACCGGGGGGCTCGAACCCCGACTTGTAGGCTTCTACAACCAGCTGGGAGTCCTGAAATCACACCCGTCGCGCACAGACCCGTTCAGATACGTGTGAACGCTCTCTGCACGCCGGATGGCGCGTCCCGGGCACAGTGGCTTGGCCTCGGGAAGGACTGTAACAGATCTTTCCCTAGGAACGTTTCTGTCACGAGAAAGTGTCGTTTGTAAAGCTCTGAGCCCAGGTGAGGTGTGAAGGCACTTTCAGTAACCAGTTTTTTTGCATTTGGAGAAACAAATATTAATTAAGAACAACTTGGCTAAAAACAGAAAAAAACTGGGCCATTATTAAGGAATTCCCACCCGGCTGGGGCGGCTCAGCTGCACCAAGAGGTCGCCGGTTTGATTCCCGGTCAGGGCACATGCCCGGGTTGCGGGCTTGGCCCCAGTAGGCGGCAGCGGGTCGATGTGTCTCTCTCACATCAATATTCCCCTCTCTCCCTTCCACTCTCTCTGAAAAGCAATGCAAAAAATATCCTCGAGGGTTAGCTAAAAAAACACACCGGTGCTCAGAGAAGGCCCCCCTGAGACCGTTTCTTGGTTCCAGGCGTATACAGCCGCTGAAAGCTTGGACCAGACGGAAGCCGCAGAGCGGTGCGGAGTGACAACCCTGCGGTGATGGGGAAAGGCGCCGGGCCCATCCCGGGGAAAAACTCACGTGGCCCGCGGGCGGCCACTGAGCGCGACAACCCAGCACGGGGAGACTGTGTGGGGTCCCCGTGGAGGGGAGGGGACACGATGGGACCACAAAGGGCTGTACACTAAAGCCGCTTACGGTTTTCTCATCGATGGCCTCGGCCGCCTTCACGATGCCGTCCAAGCACTTCCCGATGATGGGGACCACCTGCCGGTCCACCTCGGCGTAGGCCCTCACCGACTCCCCGAGCCTCACTATCCGCCGCTCCTCCATCTCCTGGATTTTCTGAAACGTCAGGTTTTGTACAGAATGAATCTGGTGTCGCCGCTGTTACCTAACGATGTCCCTTCTCAGTAAACGGCCCGGTGAGGAAACGGGCCCATCGAAGGGGTCCCAGCCGGAGCGACGTCAGTGTCCTGGGCCCCGACCTGCACCGGCTGCAGGCGCAGCTCACGGGCTGCCGGGCCGGCCAGCCCCGCGCCAGCCTCAGCAAGGACCCCAAACTCGAACAAATATTGATCGTGTGACGCAAATAGTTATCGTTTTTCTCTACAACTGGGCTTGAAGTCGTAAAAGGTTCCCAAGGTGAGAGGACACGTGCGTCTCTTTTGTTTTGAGGCTTACACGCCTTTTCTCACACCATTTTTGAAAAGGTAAAGGAGCCGGAAGAAAAACAATTCGAAGGCCTATAGTGTTAGTCGGTTCCTAAGCTTAAATTGGCTTTTTTTTTTTTTTTTGGTAACCAGGACCGTCCTTTTCGCAAAGAGAGCGTTAACCTAAGGGCCACAGCTCTAGGGCTCCAGGGGAAAACCGGGGGAGTTACCAAGCTGCTGACTCATCTTGAGACTAACCCTGTTTCATTTTGCCGCGGGCCAGCGCCCGATCGGAACGCTTCACAAAAACGGCTCGAGTTGGAGGACACTTAGGATTATATGAAGCCTCAGGACACAAGCAGCAACCACGCCCCAGAGGCACGTGCTTCTCGGACGGACGGGCGGACCTGGGCCCCTCACCTGGAATATGCTGGGGATGTGCGTGTGGTAATAGTCCCGCTGCTCGTGGTTGAACTTCTGGAGGGTCGACGAGTAGTCGGCTTTGCTGTCCTCTGCCATCTGGTGCCGGATTTGGGCTTGTTGTCGGGCCTGAGGGCAAAAAGATCAGAAGATCCCGTGTTTACTGAGACAAATAAAAGCTTACAATTTGCAAACCGGAGGGCGGGGCTCAAAGTCACCTCACAGGTGTTGTATGCAGCAGGTGCTATTATTTTTTAAATTACAGTTTATAGTCAGTATTGTTTTGTATTAGTTTCAGGTGGTCACACAATCATACACTTCACAAAGCGCCCCCCCCCATATTTTGCACCCACCCGGCACCGTGCATAGGCTCTGCAATATCATCGACTACATTCCCTGAGCCATGACTATTTTGTAAATACCGATTTGCATCTTTACTTCTTTACTGATTGATTGACTTGAGAGAGAGAAAAGAGAAGGGGGGAGAGAAACATCGATTTGCTGTTCCGCGTATTTCTGCCTCATGGGTTAATTCCTGTGCGCGCCCTGACTGGGGGCTGAGCCGGCAACCTTGGGGTATTGGGACCACGTGCTAACCAATTAAGCTACGGGCCGGGGCTGCGTAACGACCCAATTGTACTCCTTAATCCCTTCACCTTTTCAACCAGCCCCCAACCCCCCCTCTGGAAACCATCGGCCTGTTCTCCGTATCTATGAGTCTGTTTCTGTTTTATTTGTTCATCTACTTTGGTCCTTAGGCTCCACACGTAGGTGAAGTCATATGGTATCTGTCTTTGTCTGTCTGACTTATTTCACTTAGCATAACGTCCTCTAGGTCCATCCACGCTGTTGCGAATGGTAAGATTTCATTCTTTTTCATGGCCGAGTAATAGTCCACCGTGTAAATGTGCATCCCCTTACCCACGCCTCTACTGATGGGCACTAGGGTTGCTTCCATGTCTTGCCTATTAATAACATAGCAGGTGCTATTAAAAAAAAAAAAGGTTTGGAGTTTGAATTTGCTTTAGATAAGTTGTGCACCCTAATTTGTCGCAAACCTCGCCATCCGCTCGTCTTAACTTGGCATTCATCCCTGCCTGGTTAGACACGGGCGTCGCCATTCATCCCTCCTGCACCTGCGCCTGCGCCTGCTCAGAGCCCCAGACGTCGGCAGCTGATGGCCCTGCGAGAGCCTCTGCGTGTGTAGATTCATTATTTATTTATGTTTTTGAGGAGGAGATGAATCCATACATTTTTCAGTTCAATTCCCAGTGGGGTTATGAGCTAAGACGGCCTATGAAGCACTGACCTACGGGCCCTTTCTAAAACTCCACGGCGCTTATTTTTAGTGCACTTTCTAAAGAAGCGGTAAGCGCCGCACCCTCTCTGTGCTCAGGTTTTCGCGTGTGTGCCACTTTGTGTTTCACTGCCTTGCTTTTCTCCTAAATAATCAATAATAAAACTCACGAGTTTGTTTCTCTCCTCAGTCACAGTCTGTTTCTCACGTGCCTACGGGAAAGGGGCGACTGCTGGCACGTCGCCGAGTGGGTTTCAAAGCTCCCGCAGGGATGGGCGTGGACCCTGAAGTCACCCACAGGTGACCAAAGGCTGTTCGTGCCATCCCACACCCGCCTCGCACGTGGAGGGTCCCCACAGACTATTCCTCGCGAATCTCTGGGCTGGCCTGGGGTCTGCGTGAGGACACGGAAGCGGGCCTGCGGGTGGCCTGAGCAGAGGGCCCTGTTCCAACATAACCAAGGCAACTGTTTGTTTGTTTTTTGCTTTGTTTTACTGAACCCAACAGTTGCGTGTGTGTGTTTTTTTAGAGGGATAACAAAGAAGCAGATGCAAACCCAGAGAAGCCGCGCAGTCGCTGGGGCAGGTCACCCTCCTGCCTGGGCGCTGATAGCATCTCCTCCTGGGCAATGATAGCATCTCCTGGGGCTTCTCTGCCCGTTTCCTGCCTCTGCGGCTGGGAGGCGTGACCTGGTTTCACTTCCTGGCCCCGCTGACTCAGCCGGGCATGGGGACGTGCATGGGGACGTGCATGGGGACAGGGGACGGCCCCGGGACAGCCTCCTTGGCCCCTTCCCCATCCTACCCAAAGGCTTCCCACGCCAGAGCCGTGCAGCAGTGTCCCCCCTGAGTTTCCTTAGTACCGGAGGCGGTTTGAGTTTCTTAGGCTTCAGGCGCCTCAGAACCGCAGGAGCCACTTCTGCAGAGCCACGTCTCACCTGCCCTGTTATTTCGCTGCTTCAGCGGCCTGCACTTCCTCTGTGTCAGAGGCCTGTTCCCTCCCTTCCCGGCCATATGCTCCCTTGGCTTCAGCCTCCCGTGTCCCCAGGAAACACAGAACCTAGTCCCCGACATGCTAGGTCCCCGGCCGGCTCCCGAGCGCTCCATGCCCTCCTTGGTGCACACAGCTTCCCCACCCACGCGCGGCCCATCTGTCCCTCTGACGCCACCAACGCGGAACCCTCTTAACTCTTTCCGTGACCTGCAGTTTTATCCTCATGGCTCGCTTTTGAGTATGAAAAAAACCAACCAGGGAACACCCGGCAGACCTCAAATGTCTAAAAAATTCTCTATTTCACTCACAAACCTTCCTCAGAAAAAGACAGAAAAATCCAGGGGATGGGGGGGGGTGGTTCACCTCTTCTGTAAACAAGATTAACAAGCAACGAGATGGAGGGTGGGTCCCTGTGCTAGTTCTGGAGGGATGATTCTGACATGGGTGAATTTTTAAAACAGCTTAGTTCCAAAACAGAGGTCAGGTGTCACTATTATACACAGGATGTCCCCCGAAAATGTACACGCACTTCCAATTATTAAAGGCAGGACACATTTCATCTTCAAAATGTCACAGAATCTACAGCTATCGGCTGTTAAAATGTGTATACATTTTGCCCGGCCGGTGTGGCTCAGTGGTCGAGTGTCTATCCCGGAACCAAGAGGTCGCCAGTTTGGTTCCCCGGCAGGGCTCACGCCCGGGTTGTGGGCTCCATCCCTGGTGGGGGATGTGCGGGGGTGGCAGCCGACGGTGTTTCTCTCTCATGGATGTTTCTATCTCTGTATTCCTCTCCCTTCCTCTCTCTAAAATAAATAAGTAAAAATCATATTAAACAACAAAAAAACTGTGTATACATTTTTTTGGGGACACCCTGTATATACACACGGATGTATTTATGTGAGTGCGAGTGTGCGTGGCCCCCTCCCCACGAGCAGACAAGCACTTCCTGACGACGGGCCCATCACGCCGGCCACGGGCTGTGTTACTGACGAGGTCTGGAGGCGACGCCCGCGGAGGTGCCCTGCGCCACGTGGGTGGGAGGGGCTGTGACCCCCCCCAATCTCCAGTGACGTCTTCACTTTGGCTACGTGACGGCCTTTGGGAGCACGTTAACTCATAATAGTTTCCTGATGGCCTTTACGCTGTTTAAACTCTTCGTATTAATCTTTTTTGTTTGAGAGGGAGAGGGAGAGGGAGAGAGAAACATTGATGCGAGAGAGCGAGGTATCGATCGGCTGCCTCCTGCACGCGCCCTACAGGGGATCGAGCCCGAGACCCGAGCATGTGCCGCGACCGGGAATCGAACCGGTGACCTTCCAACTGAGCCCCACCGGCTGGGCATCCTTTAGCTGTTTATCTGCAGTAATTCTGGCACGTAATCGGCCACCAGGTGTGAACTGTGGACACACCTGAAACAAGTGGCCACATGTAGGAAACCGAGCCTGGGAAGGCAGCTGAGTAACAGAAAACAGGCCGGAGAGCGCCGCCCGAGGGCAGGGTCCGCCTCCGTGTTAGCGGGAGGGCTCTCCGCGAGGTTTCCTCGAGGGCCAGGGCTGGGCACAGATGGCAAAGCCCACGTGTTTCTCCAGCCTCCCTCTTGCTCCCTTTTACAAAGGACAGGGGAACACTTAAAAGCAGCAAAACACTGTTGTCCATTAAGCTCTGCAAGGCCACAGCAGGAGGACAGGACCGTCTTGTCCTTGATCCCAGCACCCATCTGCTTTGAATTAACCCTCACTTTTGAATCCCGAGCCCAGGAATGTGCCATTGTCCTGACCAAGTTTTAAGACGGAAAAATCTATTTTTGTTTAGCAAGCTGTGGTGTTTATTTTACAATGGGAAGAGCCGGCTTAATCAGTTACTTATTATAACAGACTTATTTTTAAAAATATCTTTAATAGTATTTTCAAAAATGTGTCTGGAGTAAGAGGTCAGTAACTGGTGTTTTAGAAAGGGCATTGCCTCGTGCTGGTGCTACCTGAGGATGAACGTTCACTGCTTCTCACCTCTTTTTAAGTCAGCCTAAAAATAACCGCTGTCATCTCAAAGAGGTGAGCAGTTCCCTCCAAAGCCAGACCGTCAGCTTTTCCCCTTGATTAAGTTTTCCATTCAGATTCTAAACGACACCGAGTCTTACAGCAAGCAGCATGTCGGCAGGGCAGGGAGAAGTGCAGAGTATTGGGCTCTTTTTGTTTTGTTAAATGAGAGTCATGGAATTTAGAGATAACCTAAAAACACCGCAAATGACGATGGCTGGAGCCTGTCAGTCACAGGCGTCTTTGAATGAGACCTGGACCACTTTTACTTTTGATTACAGAGACTGAATTTAAACTTCAGACTTTCTGAGACAAGCCTTGGGAATCTCCCCAAATAAATCCAAGTAAAAGGAGGTACTGTTTACACCAGAGTTTCCTGCTGGGCAATTCTTTCTTCTTTAAAATTATTTATTGAATTTGTTGGGGCGACAGTGGTTAATACAGTTATACAGGTCTCAGGTGCGCTGTCTGGAACGCACCGTCCGTGTCCTGCACTGTGCTCACCACCCAAGGTCAAGTCTCCTTCCGCCCCCTGGGGCGATTCTTACTAGGGCCCAACCCCACATCCTGCCTGAAAGGTCGGACCCGCAGTTTCTAAGTAAAGGAAACAATGTATCAGAAACTGAACCGCCGCCCAGTGCTTCCAAATCCGAGCAGTTAGTTTAAACACAAAATTACTGTAACGCATCTAGATTATTAGCGCGGACAACGTGCGGACAACGTGCGGGGCGACGTCCTGTTCGACTCAGCCCGACTTTTTCCTTCCTGTTTCAAATATTAAGGAGAGACGGACACTGCTGGCT